CCTGTCCTATTATTTATAATTACCGAAGTTTTTTTTTTTTTTTTTTTGTTAACTGCCAATATATCTTTTCAAACAGGTGCTTCAAGCTTTAAACAAAAAAATACACCTGAGGAAAATACATGGACGTGCACAAGATGGCGTCCAGTATGTACCGCACTTCATCAAAACGAGGCGTACGTGAAGGTTTTAGAGTCGAGCGTTTTCCTGTCTAAATACCGGTAGTTCTGAAGTCCACATTAATTACTGTCAAGTTCCAAATTTTTTTTTTTTATTAGGTCACATATTTCCCTGATTCCGTGGTTTGGGTGGAATATCTCTTTAAATAAAAAGTAATATCATTTCGGGTCTTCACGGAAAACAACGAATTAAATATCCACTGTGTTTTTGATAGTTTCTTAAAATTTGGAGATCCGGACTCAATTTGAAAATAAAATATTTCAATACAACTGTTGTCGAGACTTCAGGACAGCAATATCTAAGTCGTGTTATTTAAATACATTTCAAATCAACGAACTTTGTTCTTTGGAAAATAATAATCATTATGTTGTTGAATGCATGTCCTTTTAAAGTGATATAATTCTGAATTCACCCATTACAAATTGATTTGTATTTTTATTATTAAAATGTACTCTGTAAAACCATTGGTCAAGGGCTCTCACACTGGGCTCTGCGCACGGCTTTTTGGTCAAGGGCTCTCACACTGGGCTCTGCGCACGGCTTTTTGGTCAAGGGCTCTCACACTGGGCTCTGCGCACGGCTTTTTGGTCAAGGGCTCTCACACTGGGCTCTGCGCACGGCTTTTTGGTCAAGGGCTCTCACACTGGGCTCTGCGCACGGCTTTTTGGTCAAGGGCTCTCACACTGGGCTCTGCGCACGGCTTTTTGGTCAAGGGCTCTCACACTGGGCTCTGCGCACGGCTTTTTGGTCAAGGGCTCTCACACTGGGCTCTGCGCACGGCTTTTTGGTCAAGGGCTCTCACACTGGGCTCTGCGCACGGTTTTTTGTCGTAGAACGCAACCAAACGGCGTACCGGCACATTTTTTTTGACGGATTTTCCAAGTAGCTTTTGAAAATTGTATGATTCGTCAATGTGAATCACCCTGTCTAACATAGCAGGTCCACCTTGTACAGTGTAGTAGGTCCACCCTGTCCAGCGAAGCAGGTCCACCCTGTCCAACGTAGTAGGTGCACCCTGTCAAGCGTAGCAGGTCCACCCTGTCAAGCGTAGCAGGTCCACCCTGTCCAAAGAAGCAGGTCCACCTTGTACAGTGTAGTAGGTCCACCCTGTCCAGCGAAGCAGGTCCACCATGTCCAATGTAGTAGGTCCACCCTGTCAAGCGTAGCAGGTCCACCCTGTCCAGCGAAGCAGGTCCCCCCTGTCAAGCGTAGCAGGTCCACTTTGTCCAACGTAGCAGGTCCACCCTGTCAAGCGTAGCAGGTCCACCCTGTCCAAAGAAGCAGGTCCACCCTGTCAAGCGTAGCAGGTCCACCCTGTCCAACGTAGTAGGTCCACCCTGTCAAGCGTAGCAGGTCCACCCTGTCCAACGTAGTAGGTCCACCCTGTCCACCTTAGTAGGTCCACCCTGTCAAGCGTAGCAGGTCCACCCTGTCCAACGAAGCAGGTCCACCCTGTCAAGCGTAGCAGGTCCACCCTGTCCAACGTAGTAGGTCCACCCTGTCAAGCGTAGCAGGTCCACCCTGTCCAACGTAGTAGGTCCACCCTGTCCAACTTAGTAGGTCCACTCTGTCAAGCGTAGCAGGTCCACCCTGTCAAGCGTAGCAGGTCAACCCTGTCCAGCGTAGCAGGTCCGCCCTGACCAGTAGGTAAGGGAAATAGTTAAATTGGTGCATGTCGGCTTTTCATGGGGGAGGGGGCACAAAGATGATGCCCCCACCCTGGATGGCACCAACCCTGCATGCGAACGGTAAATATTTTTCTTTATTAAAAAAATTTGTTGGTGAAATGTAAACAATTACTAATAACTTTTCAACCACCTGTCACGCCCTGATAATAAAAGGCCAGAATAGGAAAAGACATAACGACAGAAGACACGAAAAGAACGAGGTCTTTGGCTTTTTCTAAATTTGATCTTCAGAAGCCAAGCCAAACTACAAATGACTGGCCAGACTGCTGGATATATATGATTAGTTTTAAATATAATATATCTAAATAAGAGGCCTTCCACAAATGACGTAAGGCAATGATTGCCGATAGTGGAGCCCCCGTCCCCATTGTCACAGGTGTGTCATGTTATTTAGACATCTTCTGGATAGTTCTTAATAAAATCGTGCGCCCCCCTCCCATCCCGATGTGTGTGTGTGTGGGGGGGGGGGCATTAATTATGACTCCTAAAAGATTAAGGAGATTTGAGTACCGGCAACAACAACAAGAACAACAACAACAAGGCACTGGGTTGACGGAGGGTTCCAGGGCTGAGGAAATGTTTATGTGGCTCACGAGCGGGACACATTGATCATCTCTAAATTAAATTAAACTGGTTACGATTCAGTATAATCCATCATTTACCAAAAGCCGTTCAGTAGAATCCACCATTCATCAAAAGCTGTTCACTATAATCCATCATTTACCAAAAGCCGTTCAGTAGAATCCATCAGAGTATGGAACAGGTTAAGAAGCCTTGTTTAAAGGTATCCGTTATATATCTGAGTAAAATATTTTCACGCCATTTAACTTGCTGGTGGTGTCGGGGTACAGCAAAATGGAAACTGCAAGCACATTTTTTGTGTGTGCCTTTCACGTCATCATGGAAATTCAATTATTTCCCCAGATTAGACACACGTGTGTAATGATGTTTTAACAACAAAATCAACCCGCCGATGTTAGAGAACTATATCATCACCAAATTCACACCAAAGACAACCACAAAACACCGAGCAACGAAATGTTGTACTTAATGTTGGATGAACGAGATGTTGGTTAAGGCAGGCATTACAATAATCAACAACATACCGCGCAACGACTCTGAATAAAATTGACTTTCAGCTGTTAAAATCAAACGTGGTAGGCTTGTATTTTTTTATATATTGAGAATCGCTGAAGAAGAGAGTCGTTAATGGCGTTACAAAAAAAGAAAATTGATAAAAAAACAAAAACAACAACTGAATGTGTAAATCCCCAGGGAAGAACTCCCCAGGGAAAGAAATTGAAAAAGTCAGAGAAGTTGAGCAGGTCTATTTCAGGAGATTGTCTAGAAGCTGTCAGCGTAATGTTGCGTTGTTGTTGTGTTTTTGTTTGGTGTGGTTTATTTCCTAGTGAATGTATGAACAACACTCTTATGTATAGTCAGACAGGCGGACACACCACACGTCAGAGTGATAGGTAGTAAGACAGCTAGACAGACACACAGCCAGATAGACAATGAGACAGCTAGACAGACACACAGCCAGATAGGCAGTAAAGCAGTTAGACAGACACACAGTCATTTAGAAGGATTTTGCACAATGTCACCAACCCATAATTCACTCCCTGTGTTGTTGTATTGCATTGTTCAAGCCATCCACGTGTTTATGACTAGGCAATATTTATGACTTAACCATATTTATGACTTACCTATGTTTATGACAGCTATATGTATGCCTTAGCTATATTTATGACTTAGCTATATTTATCACTTAACCATGTTTATGACCTAGCTATGTTTATGACTTAGCTATGTTTATGACTTAGCTATATTTATGACTTAGCTATTTTATGACTTAGTTGAACATCTATGCTTATAATCATTGGTGTTTCATCCAACCAAGTCGTCAGACAAAGACAATCTATTTTATATTTAACACGCAGAGAAATAAGTCACTTCAAGTTGAACAGGTCAGGAGGTCGACCAAGAGACGATTGCCAATGGTGATCTAGACAAAAGATTGTAAGAACAGGACCAGACATTGGGCATGATGGAGAGCTGGGTTGGGAAACCTTTTTATGCAAAAGGCGCATGGTAATAATATTTGAAAAAAAAACAACTACCAGGCCTCATAATAATCAACACTTTTCGCCAGTTTGATCATATCAGACGAATATCGCCCCGAGTTCAATGCGAAAATAGCTTGTGAAATACTTTTTCTTTTGTCTTTTCTTTTTGTCATTATATTTTGAAAATTTGACACTGTGATTAATGCGTTCAAAGTCTTGTACAGATAATCATCGAGGGCGATCAAACCGCTTATTCGGGTTTTACCGTCTGTGTTCGCTATGACGCACCAATCTTATCTGTAACCTTATCTCCCTGCGATCTTGCCACATCGAATCTTTTTAGATATGAATCGCAAGAGAAAAAAACAAAAACTCCACCACCAAGCATATGTGGTTGGGGGGGGGGAGGGGCGGGGTCACTGACTGTTCTTTTTTTAGGACCATGCCACATCGAATCTTTTTAGATATGAATCGCAAGAGAAAAAAACAAAAACTCCACCACCAAGCATATGTGGTTGGGGGGGGGGGGGAGGGGCGGGGTCACTGACTGTTCTTTTTGTAGGACCAGACGCAACAGCACATCTCACTGCTGAAGTCTGCCAATACTGCATTGAACACGCTGCGCCGAGCTGCTTAAGTCTGCCATCACTGCACTGAACACGCGAGGCCCGAGAAGCTGAAATGGCCGCCAATACTCTAGGTGCGCAGCTGCTCCTGGCTATAACGTTGATTTGTTGTCAGAGGTCTGCCACGAGCGATGATGTCATTGCCGCCCTAGACAAGGGGCAGCAACTCCTTGGAGTAAAGACAAGCTGGGTTACCGGAGAGTCTGTCTATAAGTTTTTTGGGATACCTTATGCTCTGCCCCCCATAGGTAGGTGGAGAGTGTTGTTTGTTTTGGTGTGGAGGAACGCAGGCTTAAGGTAACGCTAAACATCAGACCGTACATGCCCTCTAAGCCTTTTCCCTAACAGTTGATACATCTGAGCGTATGTAAATACATTCATAAGAACATTTTCTGTGCATAAACCATTTGGAAAAATAATGAAACCAAATAACGGGTTCCAATGATTCTATTTTTGTAAATGATTTATTTTTTTGCTTGTGATGAGTAGGGTTTGATTATTGCAATAGCTGGCGAAGTTAATCTTCAAAAATGAAAAGAACAAAGAAAAGTTTGTCATGTTATAAATGTAACCACAATTTTGTTCCCAGCATTAATCAGTATGTGGCTGAGTTAACTGAGAAGACCCTTGAAACAACTATTTTTAAAAAATGCTGGCATTTTTAATTACAACAGCTTATGAAATTAGTTTGTAAGATGACCATACTAATAGCGGGGGAAAACTGCACACAATTTTTGTGCCTTGGAATTTTATTTAACGTTTATGCAAAACCTATTTAAACTTGTCGCTTTCACCCAAGGACTCGGATGGAAGTAAGTGAACGAATTTATAAGTGAACAAATGGATATATGAACTCGGTAATTAAAAAAATAAATTTTAAGAAACTAATCTAGGAGACGTGGAAATCTTTTCAGGAGCGAGACGATTTGAACCACCAGTTGCCGCACTTGAGTGGACAGGGGTCAAAGACGCAAGGGTCCCAGGTGTCATCTGTCCACAGACATCAAAGGAAGAGAGTCAACGGTTGCAATCTGAGGACTGTCTGACTCTAAGCGTCTTCACTCCGGATCTCAACGCGTCACTTCCTGTTCTGGTGTGGATACACGGAGGGGGTTACCACGCCGGTTCTCAATTTAATGACGGGGATGCCTCGACCTTGACCCGATACGGCATCGTCACCGTGTCCATCAACTATCGCCTCTCACCTTTTGGCTTCTTGTCTACCGAGGATGACGTCATGCCAGGTAATTATGGCATGTTGGACCAGGTGCTGGCATTAAAATGGGTGCAGAAGAATATCCGGTCATTTGGAGGTGACCCCAAACAAGTGACCATTGGAGGGGAGAGTGCCGGAGCTTTCAGCGTGGCACTGCAAATTCTCTCGCCTCTGTCCAAAGGACTGTTTCACAGAGCCGTTATGGAGAGTGGCTCGGCACTGGCTCCGGCAGCCATCGAAAGACCGGGCACTCAGATCAGGGTAAAAGACTTTACCGCCATTGTCGGGGCGAGCGTTGGGTGCACGAGCGCGAACTCCTCCCAGCTTCTCCAGTGTCTCAAGGGCGTCGACGCCGACCGCCTGAAACTTGCAGCCACCGCCGCGGAGCAGAAGCTCGGCGTCTCCCTCATCGGTCTGCCCAGGGTGGAGACGGTTTACGGCTTCCTACCCGACTACCCGAAAAACTTGATTGCCAACGGCAACTACAGCAAAGTGGACACGTTGAGGGGGTTCAATGCCGGCGAGTGGTCGTTCGCCATCCAAGACAACGACAACAACGGCGTCACGAGACTTGAGTTTTCACTGTTTTTTACCGCTTTATTTCACCTGAGCTCTTTCATAAATAATGACGTCATAGTGGAGCTTGTCGCGAGGGCTTACCTGGGCAACGAGACGGATCCTTTCAAAATACGTGACATCCTGGTCAGTGCTTTGGCGGACCTGACCTTTGGAGCGTCGTCTCTTCTCGAACTGACCAAAATTGTTGACCAGCCCGGCACCCAGCATTACTTCTATGAGTTTAATTACATCCCCAGTGGCACCGCGCGACCCGCTTGGATGAGAGTGGTGCATGCTGAGGAGCGACAGTTCGTCTTCTTCGACCCCGACTGGACATCAAGATCTGTCTCGGACAAGACCGTGGGACAACGTGTGCAGACGACGTGGACGAATTTTATCAAATATGGCGATCCGACACCAGCATCGGCAAACTCATCAGCCGGAAGTGACGCAGTTCGATGGGGTAAATTCAGCAAAAGTAACTTGGAGACATTACAGATCGGAGCCCAGTCGGCTACTGAGACGTTTCCACGATCATTTGTCATTCAACTGTACGAGAAGATCCTTCAAATTTTACACATGACCACCATTGTCAAATTCGATGATGTCATTGGTTAGAGACAGCGACATGCTCTGGCATCAAAATGTAACTTCAACAAGTAAAATTATGACTTTGACGACATTAAAAATAATAAAAAATTAAGGTGAACATTGTTCGAGTTTTCTTTAAAATTAATAAATACAATTTTTTTAGGAATGAAAGAAAGTAAAGGTGTGATGGTGAGTTTAATAAGCGCACAATAAAATTCCCGATAACTGCACTCAATGAGATTCTTAAAAATACCGCAGATGTGTTTAATGAGTTAACATTTTTTTGTTTTTACATAAATGGGGTTGTAGCACTAATCAGGTTTCTTAACAAGTTTGTCACTTGAGTGTATGTCTTGTCACATAACTTTGGTGGACGGGAAGTAAATGCATTGCCACTGCCAATGTTTGGCAAGCTCTAACTGGAATCATTAAAAAACAACAACACATCATTAAATCATTAACAAAACTTTACTTAAACGAACACACGGTGTTATATAAAGAGAAACGTCAAAGTTGGAGTCTTATGGATATTATGCAGAACGCAAATATACAATCATTTTATTTTGTTTATGGTTTTGTAAAGTTGGTTAACATCCATGGGCCTGGGAAAGATTTAACGCAAAAAACAGGGGGGGGGGAGGAGAGGGGGCACGTTTAAGTTTTTTTGCAATGTCATCACACCACTTCCCCTTTTTATACCCACATTTCGATGAGCCCAACCCATTAAACCCAAATTCATGTCTGAACCCACCCATGACACTACCCTTTTATCCCTGTCTCTACACTGCCTGATACTATCCTTCTATCCCTGTCTCTATACTGCCTGACACAACCCTTCTATCCCTGTCTCTACACTGCCGGACACTATCCTTCTATCCTTGTCTGTAAAATGCCTGATACTACCCTTCTATCCCTGTCTCTATACTGCCTGACACTACCCTTCTATCCCTGTCTCTATACTGCCTGACACTACTCTCTGGTGCTTCCTACGTCACTGTACAGAGATATCACCAAGCTTTTTATTTTCACTGTTTAAAAAAAATAATGATGTCGATTTCAAAACAATAATCAAATGTCATTGGAAGATACAAGTGTCTACATCAGTCAGTGTCTACATCAGTCAGTGATAGTAAGCATGCTAGAAACACTAGGCTGGTCACCATTGGAGAAACGACGACGACAATCCAGGCTCTCCATGATGTACAAGATAAATAATGGGCTGGTCCACTGTTCCAGTATTAAACAGAAACTCGTCCCTCTCCCCCATAGACAGCGACTAGGCCATGACAGGCAATTCAGGCTCATACCAGCAAGAAGCCAGTATAGGAGCTGCTCATTCCTGCCCAAGACAATCAGGGACTGGAACCATCTTTCAAAAGGAACAGTTGAGGCGACAACACTAGACAAGAAGCCAGTATAGGAGCTGCTCATTCCTGCCCAAGACAATCAGGGACTGGAACCATCTTTCAAAAGGAACAGTTGAGGCGACAACACTAGACACATTTGTGTCTATTGCCTCAAGCCTTCAAACCCGTAGTGCATAATTTCCTCATCACCACCAGTAACAGAAACATTGCAAATCCCATCTACATGCATAGGAGCCAAAATGATCAATAAATTGATCGTGGGCCCTTAAGATATAGAAGAAGAAGAAGAAGCCTAGAAACATGGTTGAAGATGTGCACGTTTCGTCAAAATTAAAAAGCGGACGTTCAAATGCAGTGTAAAACACACCCCAAAAAATGACATTTATTATCAAAACACAAACCACAAAACCCTCACGAAACAAACTATGGATTTTTTTTATTTCTCCAGGCCTTTGGTCATTTAAGGACATTTAAAAGCTGAGTTTAAAAAAAAAAAAGAAAACAAAAAAAGAAGAAAAAACCAGTGCACCCTTAAAATATGAAGGGGCATGATGCAAACTGTTCACTTCATAGGGCTTGAGATCTCGCGATCAGTCATTGACTCAGTGAGTCAGTGAGTCAGTGAGTTAGTGAGTCAGTGACTCAGCGAGTTAGTTAGTTAATACGCTGTGTTTGACTTTTGATAAAGAGAGATTTGACGTTTCTTGATTCTTTAATATTACATCTATTGAAACTTTCGTTCTTTTAAGATGAAAGAAATAAAGCAGCAAAAATTTAAAAAAAAAAAAAAAAAAACTAACAATAAATCAATAATTTTGACGTTCACTTCAGTTATGTGAAGCAAAAACATTTTCTTTTCATCATTTTACGTTTCTTTATTTTTTAATATTACATCTATTGAAACTTTCGTTCTTTTAAAAAAAAAGAAATAAAACAGCAAAAATTTAAAAAAAAAAAAAAAAAAAACTAACAATAAATCAATAATTTTGACGTTCACTTCAGTTATGTGAAGCAAAAACATTTTCTTTTCATCGCTCCAACGAATTAAATTGTTTCGTGTTATTTAGAAATCTTGGTTACATAGTAGTTTTTTTAAACCACATTTATCCGGATACAATCAGTTCCGGGGCATAAACTACAACTTAGACCCCGACTACAGTGTTCCTTAAATTTCAAAAGCCACACGTGAACCGGAAGTGTTTTGGCGTTGGACTTACACTAGAAGCGAAGGGCCAGCTATTTGAGTCAGGAATAATTGCTCAACCGTTGTATAAAGCAGCTCATTTTGAGTCAGGAATAACTGCTGAACTGTCGTATATCGCAGCACCATTTGAGTCAGGAATAATTGCTGAACTGTTGTATATCGCAGCACGATGAACGTTTGTTCTTTTCTTATATCGGCATTTAATCTTCTGCACAATGCCGCTCAAAACTAAGGCAAATGTTACCTGGATCGATATCGTATTGGTCTGGTCACTCCTGATTTCCTGTATCTGCCTCTTTTGTATTTTATGCTGTATCATTTTGTTACCCATCTATAGGAAAGTTAAGCATGTGCTAGTAGCAGTTCTTTACTCTATATACAGGAGAAGAGCACACATTAGCATAGACGAATGGGATAAACTAACACAACAAGATCAATAATACCAAACCCAAATTGTGGTCATTAAATAGCGGGAATCTGAAGTGAGATCCTAGGGGAGGTCAAACTTGCCCAACACCTTGACGCAACTGCTGCTCGTCATTGGTTGGTTGAGTCGTCTGACGTCTGCAACAGGTGTTCACGTTCAAAACTTTTTTTGTTTTGGATAACATCATCGTGATATCAGGCAAAGGCTTATACAACTCAGGGGTCATCGTGACATTAGGCAAAGGCTTATTACAACTCAGAGGTCATCGTGACATTGGGCAAAGGCTTATACAACTCAGAGGTCATCGTGACATTAGGCAAAGGCTTATACAACTCAGAGGCGTCAAGACCAGATGGGCTACCGGAGAGTCTGTCAATGGGTTTTATATGATACTTTTGCCCTGCCCCCATTTAGGTAGGTAGATATATTTAAAGTTTCATTTAATATTTCCATAGTAAAGATGGAGATCGGGATAGTTATATAGTATAAACAGAGCCATCACGTGACTTTAGGATGCCCCCCAGCGATTTTTCAGTTTTGTGCCCCTGCATTTAAAGTTGATCGTTGACATTATATGCCACGTTTGGGCCCATTAATTATATGACCAACCCTCCCACCCGCAAGCAAGTGGGGTTGCAGGGTCAACCCGGGGTCTCTGGGTATGGGTGGAGAATGTCAGAATAGAGGTGGACATGGTGGAGCTGTGCGTTGTTATACTGTAGTTATGATATAATGGTTGGATATGTGTAATAGAAGTGGATAGTGTTATGTTATACCTATAGTGCAGCTGTGCGTTGTTATACTGTAGTTATAGGATGGTTGGCTATGGGTATACTAATCTTGGGAATTGCTATTGCTTACTTAAGAATTGTTTTAGCATTACTTGTGCTATAAGGGTTCGTGGGAAGTAAAATGATATGAGCAAGGTATTCGCATTGGACTGCATCCCAGTCTGGTTGAACATTCAATTTCCCACATGTTACAAAGTACATTTTTTCCCTCCATACATTAAATTATTTTATTAAGCTTTTGATGGATACCAATGAAAAAGTTTCTTTTGGTCCAAGTAAACAATTTTTTTTCCTTTAACTAAGATCTTTCATAAAAAGTAATTGGATGAATAAATTAAATTTCAGACAACTTGCTCCACAGCTCTTGACAAAAGAAAACAGAAGTATTTCTATTTTGATAGTTTGAAGTGGCTTCTTCTTCTTATATTTAAAGACCCCCCCCCCCCACGATCAATTTATTGATCATTCTGGCTCCTGCTTTTAAAATCAGAGTTTGCCTTCTCTTCGATGGGTTGCCGCCCAAGGCTAACGTGTCCCATCCACCCGGGCTTGGGCGTTTGAGGGGGAGACATGACTCACACATTGTTCCACTGAATATGTACATGTGTTTGAATCTATTAGTCCACTAAATGTAGAAATATGTTTCACTGAAATCTTAGCGTGCCGTTCAAGCATTCACAGTTTGGAGGTTACACGTTGAACAGTTGTTCCATTTCTGAAATCTTTAACACTTTGAGTGCGTTACAAAACTAATTTCTTTTCACATCTTTCCAAGTAACGACATCTCCCACTGTTATATATCACCAGACGCAACATGAGACCGACTCGGAGGAGTGTCTTGCATGCTAAAAAAAACAACGTTTGTTTTCTTTGAGCCCAAGATCAGATCCAGATTAGATTCAGATTAGATTCAGTTTAGACTGTAAGACAACGTGTGAAGACGATGCGGCCATTTAATTTTTACAAAAATCTGGCGATCCCACTCCGCCATCTGTAAATTTTGTCAGACGAAAGTGACGTAGTTCGTGGGAGCGCATGGAACAAAAGTAAACCCTTGGAGACATTACAGTAAAACGGTAGAAAGCTACCCACGACCATTCGTTCCTCCTATGCAAGAAGCGGATACTTCACGAAAGAACCGTTTATCAATGCTGAAGCCGTCCCTGGTTAGAAGATGCAAGGATAAACTCTTTCATCAACATGTGTTTCGTCCAAAAAAAAAAGTTACGAAATCGAGCAGTTTGAAATAAAAAAAAACTTTAAAGTGAAAAACATAGAATTCGATTTATCTTGTAATAAAATCTTATTGTTGATTCATTTTTGTAAG